CTGTGATATAATGTAAGTCGGTGATGACCTTTATATGCTGCGACAACAGCCTTATGATGGATTTGTAGGTTAGGGGATGACCTGCATATGCTACGGCAGCAGACGTATCTGATCTGTAGGTCAAGAGATGACCTGTATGTGCTGCGACAACAGCCATATCTGATTTATTGTAGGCCAGTGATGGCCTGTTAGTGTCATAACAGCAACTGATTTTTTTTTCTTTTGTGATTGAAGAGCTGAGTTTCAAAAAGAAAAGGAGGGGAGCAGTTGCCTCTAGTCTCCTGGTGCAAAGAGTTTTTTTTTTGGGGGGGTGTTAGACTGCTCTTTTTTTAAGGTTTTTTGTACCTACTTTGAGTGTGGCCTGAAGCTGTGATCATGAGTGGTGAAGATTCTGCCACATCTGGTGTTTCCTTAATGCAAAATGGAATGAGTGGGGGTATGGATTTATCCTTCCCTATGGTTGTCATATCCCTGGATGGCTTAAATTATTTAGAATGGTCGAAAGGGATCAGGTTATACATTATTGCAAGGGGAAAGATAGGATATATAAATGGGAGAATTAAAGAACCTAATTCTGGGAGTGCTGAGTATGAAAGATGGAACCAGAAAAACAGCATGGTTATGTCCTGGCTTTTAGTGTCTATGCAACCTCAGGTGAGAATGAACTTTATGTGGGCTGAAACGGCTTATGAGATTTGGAAACAGGCAAAATCAACATATTCTGAACTGTATCACGATGCAAAAATCTATCAGTTACAAGTGGAATCATCCACTTGTAAACAGGGGGAGAGGAATCTTTCTGTGTACTATTCAGACTTGACCTCCGTTTGGAAGGAGTTAGATCACTATCAGAGTGTGGACTGGAACTGGAAGTGTGATGAAGATGCAAAAACATACAAGAAACTTGTTTCCCAAAAACGAGTATTTGCATTTCTCCATGGCTTGAACCCTGTGTATGAATCCATCAGAGTCCAGATCCTAGGCAGCAAGGATCTTCCATCTGTTCAGGAGATTTATGCATTAGTACAGTTAGAGGAAAGTAGAAGAAATTTGATGAATAGTTCTAGAGGGGATGCAATTGTGTTGGCAGCGAAAGGGAATGTTGCTACAGGTGGGGGAAATCTCTTTAAGAAGGGGGACTTTCAAAAAAGGGTGGATGACAAAGACAAACTATGGTGCACCCATTGCTAGAAACCTCGACACACCCATCATACATGTTGGGAACTTCATGGGAAGCCAAAATGGGCTCAAGAATTGAGTAAGAAGCAAGGTTCAGATCTAAATAAGAAGTCAGGACAGCAAGGTCCAAGAAAGCTCACTATAGCAAACATGGCTACTCAGGAGAATCATCCCCCTACTACTATTGTGACTCAAACATACACCTCTGGTTCTAACCCAGGGGAGGATATCATTAATTCATTCTAAGACCATATGGAACTCTATGGTAGGGCAATTCATCAGATGGATGCACCTCCTCCCTCAACTTCATTTGCGTCTACATTGGGTAATTTTACCACAGCTTTCCATGTATTGTCTCATTCCCCTGACTCTCCTTGGATAATTGATTCTGGAGCGTCAAAACATATGACTGGTAAGTCCACTTATTTTCAGACCTATCACCTCATCTCTGGAAGAGACAAGGTGAGACTAGTTGATGGTTCATACTTTACCATAGCTTGTCAAGGAACTATTTCTCTTCCCTTTGGCCTCACCTTGTCTAATGTTTTACATGTTTCAAAATTGCCTATTAATTTGTTCTCTGTTAATATCACTAATTCTTTAAACTGCTCAATGACCTTTTTCCCTTCTTATTGTGTGATTCAGGATTTGGCCTTGGGGAAGACGATTGGTAGAGGACGTATGGTGGATGGGCTCTACATGCTAGAGAATAAGGCTGGTCTTACAGTCATAGAAAATGCTAGAGAGTCAATTTAGTAAGAGTCAGGCCTATTTATGGCACAGTCGTCTTGGTCATTTATCTTTTGAGTCCTTAAAAATAGTGTTTCTAGAGTTGTTTAAGTCAGTGTCAGTGTCGGAGTCTACATGTCAAACCTGTCAATTGAGTAAGCATTGTAGAGCTCATTTTTCTTCAAAGAATAATAAATCTGAATTTCCATTCCATATTGTTCATTCTGATGTTTGGGGCCCTGTTACTTTACCATCTAAGAGTGGCTACAAGTATTTTATTACCTTTATTGATGATTACTCCAGATACACATGGGTGTATTCCATGCGAACTAAGGATGAAGTACAAAAAATTATCCAAGATTTCCACCGAATGGTCTTCACCCAATTTTAAACTGAAATCCAAGTTTTTCAATCCGATAATGCCAAAGAATATTTTCATAATGATCTCACGGAGTTCTTTGCTTTGTGTGGATCACTTCACTGTAGCTCATGTGCCCGAAAACAACAACAAAATAGTGCTGTTGAAAGAAAGAATTGACACCTTCTTGAAGTGGCTCGAGGGTTAATAATTCATATGAATGCCCCACATCAGCTTCTTTTTCCTAAGGCCCCTCTTCTTTCTATTCCTCCTCGTGTGTTTAGTTGTTGTTATTTTGTTCAAAATCTGTCACCCACTAATGGAAAATTGGATCCTCGTGCTATTCCTTGCATCTTCTTGGGGTACACCACTTAGAAGGGATATTGGTGCTTTGATCCCATCTCTCGGAGGTATTATGTTTCTATAGATGTCTCTTTCTTTGAGAGTGAACCTTTCTTCCTTGTTTCTCCTCAAGGGGAGTGTAGGAATGAGGAAAAACCAGTTCAGCTCCCTCCTCTTCTTGATCCTCCTCCCTTAGGTGTTTTCTTTCGTCGTCACAAAGGCCAGCCATGTTCAAGAGTTGTGGAGCACCTAGAAGTTGTACCACCAATGCCATCAAACTCTCCAGGGGTGGATCCTACCCAACCAGGTACCTTGGTTCCCATTGATGTTCTTGACCCTATTGCTATTGATACCTCTATTGCTGATGACCTTGACCTTCCTATTGTTCACTGGAAGGGTGTTAGGTCTTGCACCACTAAACATCCCATTTCCCATTTTGTTTCCTATGAGAATATTTCACCTTCCTTTTGGGCCTTCCTTTCTTCCATTTACAGTGTTCTTATTCCTAAGAATGTGGTAGAAGCTCTTTTGATGCTTGAATGGACAAATGCTATGAAGGAAGAGATTAATGCTTTGCATAAAAATGGCACATGGGAATTGGTAGATCTCCTTGAGTGGAAAGAACTAGTTTGATGTAAATGGGTTTTCACAATAAAACATAGGGTTGATGGCACAGTGGAGTGGTATAAAGCTCATTTAGTGGCAAAAGGGTTTACACAAGTGTATGGAGTGGATTATGCAGAAACTTTTGCACTTGTTGCTAAGATGAACTCCATTAGAGTCATTTTCTCTTTAGCTGATAATCTTGATTAGGACCTTCATCAACTAGATATCAAGAATGCCTTTCTAAATGGTGACCTTGAAGAGGAAGTGTACATGGTGCAACCCCTTGGTTTCCGAGCTCAAGGCAATGAATAGAAAGTGTGCAAGTTAAAAAAATCATTATATGGCCTGAAACAATCACCAAAAGCCTAGTTCAGCAAGTTTCATGTAGCTATTCAGCAAAGAGGATACAAGCAATATTAATCTGATGATCACACATTATTTGTGAAAAGAGGGGAAGGAAAAATTGCAGCCCTGATAGTATATGTTGATGATATAGTTATCACTAGCGATTAGAAAGATGAAATTCAAAAGTTGAAGAGATTTCTTGCTACCTAGTTTGAAGTAAAAGATCTATGTCCTTTAAGGTACTTCCTTGGGATTGAAGTTGCCTGCTCACAAAACGGTATCTTCATTTCCCAGAGAAAGTATGTCCTAGATCTGCTCCAGGATACAGAAAAATTGGGAGTGAATCCTGTTGATTCTCTTATTGATCCTAATCACAAATTAGGTGATTGTCAAGGTGAATTCATCAAGGATGTGAAACAATTTTGGAGACTTGTAGGAAGATTGTTATATTTTTCTATGACCCGACTAGACATTGCTTATGTTGTGGGCGTTCTTAGCCAATTCATGCATGCCCCTAAGACCATCCACCTTGAAGCAGCTAAAAGAGTTCTCAGATATCTTAAGAAGTTTCCAGGTGTAGGTTTACTATTTCAAAAGCACGGGCATTTGAAAGTTGAAGTGTATATCGATGCAGATTGGGTAGGATCCCTGAGTGATGGAAAGTCGACTAGCAGCTACTATATCTTTGTGGGAGGGAACCTAGTTACTTGGAGAAGCAAAAAGCAGAATGTGGTGGCTTGGTCTAGTGCTAAAGCTAAATATAGGGCAATGTCTCATAGAATGGCTGAAATCATGTGGCTAAAAAATTTGTTGAGTGAGTTGGGATTTATAGTTGATGGACCTATGACCCTATATTGTGATAACAAAGTAGCCATAAACATTGCTGCTAATGCAATGCTGCATGATAGAACTAAACACACCGAAGTCGACAAACATTTTATCAGAGAAAAGGTTGTCACAGAGAAAGTGTGTACCCCCTATATCAGTTCTGAAGACCAACTTGCAGACATCTTTACAAAAGGGTTACATCACTTGTGACATCACGATTTATGTGACAAGTTGGGCATGATTGACATCTATGTCCCAGCTTGAGGGGGAGTGTTAAAAGTCTGTTATTTTTTAAGTTTAGTACCGTAGGGGTACTAATGTACTTTCCTCATCTTTTATTTTGTTTTATGTTGCCCTAGTATAAATACAAAAAGCTAGTGCCGCCAGCAGTACCTTTTGACTCTCAATCTCTCTTCTCTCCTCTCTCCTCTCTCTTCCCTCTTCCTTTCTTCTTCTCTTTTGGATAACATACAAAAAAAAAAAAAAACAAGAACGTTGTATCAAGTTAAATTACATGGTGGCTTAAATAAGTACTAAGTAGTATGATAAGAATTCCAAAATTTGGAGTTAGAATGGAGCCAGACAAGTACAAATAGTGAACTTCACAACTTACTTTTTTCTGTGTTCTCACTTGATCAAGTGAGAGCAGGAACTGATTATATGCATCTTTGTCAGACAAAAGCTTTCGAAGTTCATCAACACTACAGGCAATAAATCAAAAAAAAAAAAAGAATTAGATGATTATTACCAACTAGAAATACAAACCAGAATGTGAATGAAAGTTGCAAATGTGGCCTTGACAAATCATTATAACAATATACTCCATATATGTGAAAGCCAAAAAAGGGTTTAGGCAATCAGCATAGGGTTAAATGCTCAATTAAGACTACATGTTTCATACTGAGAACAGAAGAAAATGATGAAAAATATTTGGTGGCACAATTTTTGGAAGAATAAAAATCAACAAAAATGTACTTAACATCTAGAGTTCTTAAATTTTTGAAGCTCCAGGGATGGCCCAATAAGGTTCTGCATCTGTCATATTACCCTCAAGTTGCAGACCAATAAGCCCCATATACATGGAAAATAAAGCTTCTATTTTTAGCTTTTCTTTTCCTATTTCTCTTTTTGGTTGGCTTCTTAATTGATATGGATTCGGAAGGACCTAGTCCAATGCTGGTGTTATGCAGAGTACGAATATTGAATCACTGAACACAATGAACAATACAGAGGCCCATCTATCTGGTGGACAGTCTTAAATGTCCTACATATAGGTTAAGGTATAGGTTAGGGTGGGAGGCTTTCATGTTGCTAAGGGACTATACTATTCAGAAACAGTTCCAACTTTTACAGAATATTATATAAGGAAATGATTTATTGATCTAGTTGATAATAAAATGATACATCAAAAACCTTAAATCTTACCTTTTGTCCTTCAACAAATTAATTATGCATGCAGCTTCAGCAGGTGAAAGTTGTCCATGTGATGGAGGGTGTGGCCATTCTGATGGTCGTATATTGAAACCAGAAGAACTACTACTAGGTGTAGAAGGAAGGGTTGAACTTGGAGAACTAACTACAGAAGGAGGATACCATGCCTGTGCACTGGCCTCCTGAGGGCGTGGCTGAGACTGTTGCTCTTGACTGCCCCTGTGGGTAGACAATGTTAGAGCTTCAATGCACAATAAATAAAGCAACATTTGGATATAACTAGAATGACCACTGTGACAAAGATAAAGAGAAATGGTGAAAAATAATGTTTGCTAATTGGTAATAAGTGCATGGTATTTATATGAAAAAAAAAAACATCTTCGTTGATACATCAGGGCATCCATCATTAGAGCACACACTATAGATTTATGTAAGAGGTTCAAATTTTGTTTGGGTTTGAACAGGTTGAGGGGGATTTCCAGATAGTAATTGCATGGATGATGGTAGGCTTTGAGCGCCCTTGGTACTTGAAACATTTTAACAGAGAAGGTAGGGTCATAGCCTTTAAAGTGAACGCCTTATTCAAAAGGATTTCGAAGGTCAGTCAACTAAATGGCTATTTTGCCCAGATAAGTCAAGGATACACTTGGATATGTTGTCAGATGCAGAATTTACACTTAAAGTTGAAGTGTCTGGCATAATACGGCATCATGGTACAGGTATCTGGGTATCATAGCTAAATGGAAGATATCCCTGCTGGACAGCTGGAGTAGAGGTTGGGAAATCAAATCTGTATCAGGGTGCCATTAGTTTTCTATGCATAACCAAAGAACTTTATTAAGCATACATAAAATATTTCAAAAATTCACCCCCCCCCCCATGATAGCAATATGCTGTGGTACCCACATCATATGTTGGATTTTGACACCCCCAGAATTCTTGAGGAACACTTCTACAGAAATAGGATATCTTTACACCCATAATGGAATTCCAAGAAAGAACAAAATCCCTTCCATTGAAAGCCACAAAATCTATAAGAGCTAAGGCTTACTCCATGATGAAATTACTAGAATTAGAACACAACCGAGGAAAACGATTTTCCTCTCTTTCAAAAGCGCTACTATTGCTTTCTTTCCAAATGGTATAATATGTCACAAAGGTAATCATAGCGAAACCTGATCTCCTCTATTTTCCAAAGCTAAAAAGGCGAAGAGGACATTATTGTTCCAATTATACCTTCTTGTACCTTTTTTATGGGTTTATCTTAGAGTCATGACCCAATGAGGGGATTTGCACCTTCTCTAGGCTTAAGGAACATTATTCTTGTATGTTCCATTCCAATTTCTCCTAAAAAACACCATTAATTACAAAAAATGGTGTGCATGAGCATCATGCATACACCAATATATGTCTTTTTGAGACTTCAACGAAAAATCATTTTAGTGCTTCCAAACTGATGAGGGCGGATTTGGCCCTCCAATGACATTATGACACCTGGCACCTCATGACAACTAAGTGCAGCCTCATGACAACTAGACAGCTCGTCACAGGCAGCTCGCCACTAGGCGGCTCAGCACCTGGTCAGCCCCTGACACCTCATAGGCAGCTCGATACCTGGTCAGCCCAGCACCTCACAGGCAGCTCGACACCTCAAAGGCAGCTCGGTACCTGGTCAGCCCAGCACCTCACAGGCAGCTCGGCACCTGGTCAGCACGGCACTTCACAGGCAGCTCGCCACCATGCAGCACTTACAGGCAGCTCACCATCATGTAGCCTGGCAACTTAGACAACTCGGCACTGCACAGGCAGCTCGCCACTATGTCACAGGGCTAATCGATGAGGCCCCGTGCGGCGCTCGATGGGGTCGAGAAAGCCTACGAATGCAAGCAACAACACACAAAAGGCAACAAGAAGGCACACAAATTAGACAAAAGGTAACTTGTATTGCATTAATCAGTGGTAAGCACAAGCACACAGTACAGTGTCGAGGGGATCT